TCACACTCTTCATGTTCTTAAAAAAATATCATTGATATGATTGATTTCGCAATAATAAAATACAACAAAACAAAAAAAAAATTTGCAATTTGCATGTGTGTCATCGAAATTTATATTATTGGTTTAAATAATTAATATATAAAACATCATAACTGAGCAGGTTGAAATCAAAATCTGTGATGTTTTTTGAACAATGTCTTTGACATGTTTGATGACCGTAGTCTGTATATATTATAGTATTTATTATCAGATATCTTATCAATGTCCCAATATTAAAATATGGAATATTTGTGGATCTAAACTTTAAATGTCAAATTTGAAATCAGTCCTCACTATTTTATTTTGACCACAACAATTAATATATTTAACAATTTCATCACTATCTAGGGTTAGAATCACCAAGATGCATGCCAAAAACATAAAGGCAGATATATTAAATTTCAGTTGCCTCACAACTTGAGGGTAATTTTCTTGATCTTGATAGGATAAATTATATTTAACAAATAATTAAAAGATGACAATCAATTTATGATATGAAAAATATAAAATTTACAATTGATTATCACAATTTATCATTTTTTTAATTAGATTAAAAAAAAAAAACCCTAGACTTGAATAAAGATGAATTAGAAGTACTCGATCTGAATTGTTACCCCTTTTTTTGATGATAAAAGGGGTCATGATATTGAACTGTTTGGATCAAAGTAATATTGGACAGGTTGCAGCAGTTTGATCTGGATCAAACTTGTTCTTTTCTTTTTTTTTTTTGGTAAGGAGCATAGCATGTGCATTGCGAGAGTGACTGGCATCTTTTATTTTCCTCAAAACTATGAAAAAAAAATTTATAGTTAAAGAAATGCATGATTTCTTTACATTAGTAAACCTTCATTTCCATTCTCAACTACTTGAGTCAAAATTTAAGTAACTCCACTCAGCTGCTTTTATATGTTTGAATCAATGGGTGACTATCAATACCAGTTCAGTTGGATGAAAAATAAGACAAAAATCTCTACATTTGTTAGGTTATATTGTATAATACTAAGATGGTGAAAGGGGTTTTGAGGTTTTGAGAAACTCAACAAGGGTTAATTTTAATAGAGAGGGATTTTCCCGTGAGAGCCGTGAGGGTTTCCCTCCATTATGAGCCATGGCTCCTTTTAAGAGTCTATAAGCCCGTAATTGTTCGGCTCAATGAGAAAGGCCGGTGGAGAATGGAGAGTAATGCTTCAGTTAGAGCCCCAAGAATTTTTACTAATAAAATTAAAAATTAGCAAATCATCAAACTCTATTTTCCTACATATGTTTTATTGGTTCTAGAATTTGACAGACCTATGTGGGTGAAAATAAAACGTTTTGGACAAAAAAAAAACATAAAGGAAAACATGGGTAGTTTTTTTAAGTGAAAAAAAATCTATATGCTTATATTTTATTTTATTTTTTGTAATTATTTTTAATTGAATTGGTGCCACTTATGAAATCAAACTCAATAAGAGGTTGTATGGTACCATAGATAACTAATTGAAAAAAATGGCACAAAAATTTGGAGATGTAATCTATGCAATCATATTTAGAAGGTTTCAATCACAATAAATAGTTCAACTTGCTGTATTGCAAGATTAATGCCCCAATCTTACATAATTTTAATTAATTATGTTGGTGCAAGATGAACGAAAATGCTTTTATGACTATCATTTTTAAATGAAAAATACTACTTTTTTTTTTATTACTTTTGTCTAAAAAATTTATACTCTTTGATACGACGTATAAGTATTGATTTGGTTGCGATATCTCATCTATGAATTGAATGATTTATTTATAAATTGGTAAATCACATCTTTGAAGTTATTTAATAATTATATTTCATATTAAAAAGTACGCAAATTTAGGATAAAATTTATAGGAAATTAATCGGAAAATTTTGAAATTCTATATTTTGTTGAAAATGACTATTGCCTAAAAAAATGATTGAAATTGGTTAGACGTTTGGAATGATCAAATTTACTATTTTAGTTTCCTTATGATTGCCTAATATATTATTTTAATTTTAAGGTTTAGGGTTTTGGAATATTATTATTAAAAAAATAATTTGGAAAATGAAAACGAAACTAATTATGCCTACTAGAATTTAATTCATTAATTTACATTATAAAACTAATTAATTCATATTCTCCTGAAATAATTTTTTTTGTTGGGTCTATAGAGGGGAATAAAATTTATTTAAATTTCTTCAAAGAATAACCCTTTCACGTTTTCTACTTTGTGAACTCTTTCACGCATAGTTTACTATTAAAGATTAGGGGTCATTATTTAGAGGTGTCAAATGAATAGGATAGCCTATGCATTGATATGATTTAGCATGATGTAATTCGTGTTTGGCATGATCTAGTCTTAAGTAATTGAGTTGGATCAAGTATGATATATATATATATATATATATATATGTATGCTGTGTTAGACTAAAGAATTTTAGTTTTATGAATTAACATGACACGATCAATTAAGGGCCAATGCTAGTATGACATAGCACATAAGCTCAAGTGGCATATTAACCAATACAGCAAGACACACAAACTTAAATAAATTTTATTCATATTTTTAATTTAGTGATGAAATTATATTTGCTTTTGATATAATTTATTGATAATTTATTAAAAATAAAATTATATTGAATAAATCTATTTATGAAATATTAAAATATTGTTAGATGAATTTATAATTGTTTTCATTTTGAATACAAAAATTTATGATATCTCACTTTTTATAAAAGAAAGCTTTTCATGAAAACTACACTACAAGTAAATTAAAACTTATAAAAAAATTTATTAAAGTAAAAATGTTGCAACTTGATGTATTAGTAGTTAAAATAGTTAATTTATCTTTGACAGGACCAAAATGAAAGTAATATTATCGAAACATGCATATTACATAAAGATTAATTAGATAGAGAAGTCTGAGATTAAGAGAAAGCACATTATATAAGTGAATTATCAAAAATGAGAAATAAAATAAAGGGTTCGTGTCTTATAATATCTTTTTTGTATATTTTGAAATATTAAGATTGTAAATTTCAATATTTTTATTTAGTGAATTTTATTATCCTTTATCATGGATCTAAGCATTTTATCTATCAACATAAATTATGTGTCAACTTGTGTAAATTATGTGTTTTTTTATTTAATTTTGTTTTTGTTTATCTTACATGTTACTTTTAATAATAAATTATTTTACAAAATAATAATGAATATTTTTGAAAAAACTATTAATTGATCGTGTTTGGTACAGCTCCACATGAAAAATAATGTGGTGCGTGGTCTGGCACGACATAGGAGTTACGGATCATATGCTATTTTGGATCATACCTTTAACTTTTACAGGTCGTATCGACACAACCTCTTAAAATATAGTGTTGAGTTGGCATAATCTATTAACACCTAAGCTAATATTTAAATGAGATGTGCCGGCACATCATTGCTTGTTTGATGCCTCTATTAGATGACATTACCTACCAAAAAAGAACACTAGTTATTTATTTATTTCTTAAAATAACAAAAAAAAAACTTATAATAAACTTAATCTCTTGTCCTCTTGCCTTGAGTTCCTTAACCTAATGATTAAAAATCTTTTAAAAAGATGTAAATATTCTACTTTTAAATCAAGAGTCATTCCCTTTTTATTATTGGCTATTCCCATCCATGTAGGAAAAAGGACTTAATCTCTTGCAAATAAGTCCACAGCTTAAATATTTTGTAATCTTGGTTATAAATTAAAATTTTCTTTCAAAAATTAAGTTTGTATTAAAAAAAATACTTTTAAGGTAATTCATTTTTAATATATTATCAATATAATTTTTAATTTTACAAATTTATATATTCATTTTTTAATAATTTAATATTGTACACTATTAACAATATGGATGAAATAATTTTTCATATAAAAAATTTTAGATAAATAACATATAAAAAACAAAATACAAAAAATTTTAAAATAAAAAAAGCATGTATAAATGAGTAGGATGCCAATTTGCTAAATGGTTCATTTTGTTGGAAATAATAACTCAAATTCTATAAAAATTTATTTGAGATTGATAAGATATTACTTGAATGATAAGAAAATTTGCAAAAAAAATTCTAAGAAAGAAAAAATTATTGATAGACGAATTTGTATGCTTATAAATAGATGAAGTTTTCATAAAGTTAGATATAAAAAAAATATAAAAGAATTGTAAGATTTTATAGGATAAACTATTGCATATGTGTACATGGTTACTTATTTATTTGAGTTGAGAATACTGTATAAGACAAAAAGAGATTGAAATTGTTTATGCGTATTAATTGTGAATGCTTGATTTGAATTTGTTTGTAATTTTCTACAACTAAAATCTTTTTTTTTTTTCATTTATGAATGTAGGTCGGTTGGGTTTAAGCACATTAAATTACTGTTTTTGTATAATTGATTGATCGTTTGATTTTATTTCTTTTAACTTAAATAGCTTTTGAATTGAGGTTTTTGGCTTAATACATTTGGTGATTAATAAACTAACAAATTATCTTATATACGAAACTAAGAGAAAGGCTACTTTGAGGGGCGCTTTTTTCATCCAACTAAAAAGGTAGTAGTAGAAGAAAAAAAATTTTACATCCAATTATTACTATGTTTTTCGTTGGTCAACAACCAAAAAAAGTTCTCGTTTAGTTCTTCACTACTCCTACAGAAGTTTGACAGAGTAACATTCACTTGCTATACGTAAATAACATTTTTTTTATACTTCTATTGCATATTTTTTAAAAGTATTCTCAATTTTATTAAAAATAATATAAGAAATTATTGTAAGTGAATTTATTGAAGTATTTTATAAATGATGGTATGTTAGAATTTCCTTTTCTTTGTTGGTAATTCCACTATTATTAGTGAACAATAATAAAAAAATTCATTTCTATTTATTTCATATTCACAAAAATAGAAAATGTAATACACATAGATATAATAAATCGTGCTTAGAGTGCTTTAACGGTAGTCTTTAAATTTTTGTTTTCACCGTAGTATGGGAAAAGAAGCCATGAACCTATTGAAGATATGTTATCTCAGTGACAAGGCTCTGAAGGATCTTTGAAAGAAAAAGAGAATACATTTTTTTCAACTACAAAATACAAGAATTTTGCGGTAAGCTCAAAAGTAAAAGGACCCTCCCAAAACTTTTTTGGGTTTTTTGTTTTTTAATTAAGTACACCCTCCCAAACACGTGATTACAGATTCAACTTCCACATGCCTATGCTAAACTCTAATGTTATACAATGCATCAAATCCAACTTCCACCGTCCGATCACCATCCACCAACCCCATTGAAAAAATCCAACGGCCTCCCTAACCGCAACCCCCTTCTATATATCAATTTCCCTTTTTTTCTTTTTTAAATTTGTTATTATCTACGCGTGCGGGCACCGGAACACTCATGGACTTTCAGTCTCGTGTTACCCAGCGATACACCAAAACGCAGTTTACCATATCAATTCCAACAAGCACTTTTTTAATTTTATTATCTATAAAACGTCTTCTGCAGGTACATGAGCACATCCTGGAGCGGCGACAGCTGATCATTACTCTGGAACTGTGAAGCAAACCCGGTGTCCATAGTGGCATCCATGTAATTATAAGGGAAATCAAGGGTATTGTTGTTGGTATTTCCCCAGTCCATCCATTTGGGCTCGCTTTGTACCTCGCAAGTGAACTCCGGAGACACCACGTGCTCCGAACAGCTCGAGTCCGTGTGAAGCCTCGGGACCGACTCCGACGTGTCGAAAAACACGAAATCGTTAACCGTCCCCGTCGGTGCCTGAGGCAACCCAAACTTGTCCGTGCCAAGTGTTTCAATATCCGGCTTCTTGTCCTCAATCTCCCTCATGCTAGCTTTTTTCGCAACGCTTCCTTCCGGTGGTTGTTTCTCGATGACACCTTTCTTATTGTAAATCCGGCACAACACCCAATCATCCAACTGCAAAAAAAAGAGCACCGTTTTGATTAATTAACTACTAATTAATGATTTCCCGTGGGAATTCGATGAATTTAATGATTTTGTCACCCTTTTTCGCAACAAGAAGAATATTTTTCTTATTGGGAAAGTAAAAATTGTTTGGTCGTGAGATAAAACTAAAAATCTGTTTTGAATGTCGTGTGGGAGTCACAGAATGCATGCGTGGCGGAAAACTATTTGATGGACCACACTGTCCAGGACCCATGTTTGCATCATGTGGGTCCTATGATTCGGTGAAACTGCACTGAATCGGAAATCTCGGTGCATCTCCACCACATGATTGAAATGATCTTTCTTGAATCTAAGGTTGGTTAACGGAGGCAGATAAAACCGTCCTTAGCATAGTCACACTATTCACGAACCGAGCCTTTTTTATGGCCGCCAGTTTTACGAATGAAAATAAAGAAAGACTGGCGGGACAAAATCCAGCTGGCAACTTTCCAAGTATGACAAGGTCAAAACGGTCATTTCGGCCTCCTCCCAGACCAATCGCTTATCATTTATGTAAATCTCCAGTTTACCACTAATATTCTAACCAGTGACGAGGAGAAGTGTTTGTACCCTTAAGCTGTTCTTCTTGCGAGCCGACCGGTCGATGCCAGCTAACCGATACTCGTGCATAATCCAATTAGTTTTCTCTCCTTTAGGAGCTTTCCCGGAGTAAAACACAAGAGCCTTCTTAATCCCGACCGGTTTCGGTTGCCCAATCGGCTTATCAGCTCCGGTTGCCTTCCAGTATCCGTCTCCAGCTGCCCGGTTCGGCCTTGAACCGTTGGGATATTTCCTGTCTCTCGGAGAAAAGAAATACCACTCTTTCTCTCCGTACAAGGCCAAATCTGTAAGTTCACAGTAAAAACACAAAACAAATGAATTCACATTAAAAAATGAAAGGTTTTACGGAGATTAAAGAAAGAAAAAATAAAGAAAGAAAGTTTACCAGGAAGTTCCCAAGGATCGTGTTTGTAAAGGTCGATTTCGGCGATAATAGGGACGGCTATCTGCTGCGACGCACATTTAGGGCAGAGATACTGCATCACGAGCTCCTCATCCGTTGGATGGAACCGAAAGCCGGGTGGTAACTGTAACTCTGCCTGTGTCATTTTTGACGTTTTTAACCTTTAGGTATTTCTTTCACCGTCACTGCTCTTTTTTTTTCTTTGCTCTTCTATGTGGTGACGGCGCTTGAAACTGGAAAACAAAGGGAGAGCGAGGAATTTATAGAAGAAGGGAATGGGACACGTGGCGGAGAGACGGTTGGAGATTCTAGAATCAACTGGGTGATAAGGTTTTCGTGGGCTTTTTTACAAACAGGGAGGTGCTTTAGGCGATGAGAGCGTGAAAGGACACGTGGAGGACATGGAAGTGAAATGCGTGCGTGTCGAAAGCCCTCATCCGGTGCTTTTGTCACTGCTTACGCCATTTGTTTTGGACGGAAGTGCTGCACCCAATGTCACCACACAAACAAGAATCCCAAACGGTCCTCGGGATTCGCATTGGGTCGGCGTGCTTTTTCTCCATTTATTTTCAAAAACAATTTTATATTCAACAATAATTTTTTATTACTTTTTCTGATTTGCTTTTATTAAAATTTGAGCTGACAGTTTAACCGTGGATCTTGGGGGTTACAAGTCAGCTCCCTTGTGCGGTCATCACCATTAGCTTAGTGTGACTCTGGCGGCATACTCCACAAAGTAGGCTGTGTTTTCAAACTTTAAAGTTGAAAGTGATCAACGGAAATACTATAATTAAATTAAAAATATCAATTATAGAATTGCATTAGATTTTTAATGTGAGAAAAAAAAAAAGCAATTTGAAATTTTTTACATAAATACTATAATTAAATTAAAAATATCAATTATAGAATTGCATTAGATTTTTAATGTGAAAAAAAAAAAAAAGCAATTTGAAATTTTTTACATATATGGTATTTGTTATGTTTAATGATAACATATATTAATATATATGTTGACTTAATAGATGTAATTTCCGGTAAAAATTGAATTTTAATTTTTGTCTAAATTATAAGCTTCTGTTAAATTAAGTTTATATATTTACATCAAGTACAATTATTTAGCAATAAAAAAAATTGTTACATGCATGATATTTGAAAAAAATAAAATTTTTAAATTAAAATATGTACATCTCAACATTAAACTAAATAATTGATATATCTATCACTATTTTTTTAAAAAATCAAAATTATCTTTTTTGATAAAAAAAAAAAAACTCTAGCGTTTTATCACTCAATTGTTATTAGATCCTTAGATTAAAATACCAAAATTTTCTTAATACAAAAAAATTGTGAAAATAAAGAAAATGATTATTATAAATAATAAATTTTGAATTTTAAATTTAAATTTTTTGAATGATAACTTTTAGTGACAACATATACAAATGTTAGTGTAAGGTATCCATATATACTAAAAAATTTTGAAAAATAAAAAAAAATTTGAAAATATTTTTTTTGTCACTAAAAGTTTTTCATAAACATATTTTTCTTAATTATTTAACTAATCCATTTATTGTCAACCACATGCATTACCTAATAGACACCTTCTTTTATAATCAGACACTTTTAAAAATATCTTAGATTTTTTACTATCAATTTTTAAAAAATAGTTCAACAAAGGTAACAAATTTTTGAATCATAAAAGAAAAGAAAATAGGAAAAGAAAAATGACAGGTGCGCGTAAGCTGTGGGCACGTACACAGGGGACTGACTGACCTCCCCAAGAGAAAGCGGAGACAAGGGACAGACCTAATTTTCAAAATTATACAACATCATTTCAAACCTTGACGTGTCAACGATATACCTGGATGAGGATAAAACGAAGTTGCTTGGCATGTATCGAAACCAACTTTTTCTATTTTCTCAGTTCTTCCACTGCCTTCGGAAAAAAAAAAAACTAAAATAATGATTTTTTTTTTTAATTTTATCATTTGTATTGAAATAAAATTTTGTATTTTTATTGTATTTAAATAAAATTTATATTTTTATTTAAATAAATTTTTAATATTTAATTTTTTAAATAATTAATTAAAATAAATTAATATTTTATTGAAAATAAAAATTTATTTAAATGTAAATAAAAAATATTTTTAAATACAATAAAAATATCAAAATTTTAATGATAAAATTAAATTTTTTTAAATATTTTAAGCCCAAAAAAAGGTATTATGCTACACTATCAATAATTTTTTTCAAAAAATAATGAATTATTTTTTATCAATTGATATATTATTAGGATTGATATTTAAAAATTATAAATTTAAAAAAATTTAAACACATATTGTTTTTTAATTAAATATGTAATTAGGTAAAAAAATTTTAAAATAAATTAAAAATTTTAAAAAGTAATTTCTCCAAAAATATAAATAAATTACTTGCAACAGCGGAGATAATAGATCTCCGACGTGGCAGAATAACCTTTACTGTCGGTGGCAGTTACTGAGTTACAAGACAACTCAATGTCTGTGCCACAGTCAAAAAATACTAATACATCACGATGGGCCAATGCAGTGATGGTACGCAATGGTTGTCAGCACCGTCTCGTCCTTGTCTTGGGACCCGATGTCTAACTTTCCGATAGGTAAACAATCGTTTCCACGTCAGCCGTCACGTAAAGGTTCCTTGACTTTGTAGTTGGACACATCGCTAGGCGAAAACTTTCTGTCAAATGTCTGGACTCTGGAATGTCTTTTGTCATGTGATGTGGCAAGTTTCTATTGGTGGATGATTAAATAACAGTCCATTTAATAAAGAGTAGGATAAATGGGGACTACCAACCACACCAAGGCGGTTTTTAATTAAGGGTGATAAAGATTTTAAAAAAGGGTAATAAATGATAAATTACGGATTGGTTAATTTTTGTGGAAAAATGAAAATATGAATGTGCAACTATAATTATTATCAGTATTCTATTACTCTCCACTTGAATTTAATTTTAAATAGTAAGGCAATTGAAGGTTTTCTCCTTCGATTCTTGTGAACCTTTTTAATAACTTGAATTTGAAAAAGATTAAGGTTTAATATTTGAATTAGTATGTATCTTTTGAACTTAAATTTTATTATTTTGTTTTAAAGGAGTGATATATATTTTGATGGTGTTTTAACCTAAAATTAACTAATAAGTAAGTGAAAAAGTTAATTTAAATATAAAATTATAAAAAAAATTTAATAAATGTGAAATAAAATCATTTAATACGTTCAATTTACTATAAATTTGATATATAAAAACTTATCGTGTCACAAACTTAAAAATGTTATAAATTAGGAAGAACATAACAAATTTAGTTTTGATATAATATTAATTTTAACTTGAAATTAATAAATTTATTAGGTGAAAATATTTAATTTGGATGTAAGAATACAAAAAAAATTTAAATTTAACAGATATAAAATAATATGACATATAAATAAAAGTTCATTCAATAAAATTGAAATCAACTTTAAAATCTTATTTATCATGAACAATGTAACAACAGTTACGTCGAGTCTTAATAGCCAACGACGGATCACATGCTTTAAACATGAAAAATGGAAAACTCCTTGTCTTTCGTCTGAACCTACTTTTTTTTTTTGCCAAAGACGACAATGTTGAAGGAAAAAAATTCAGGGCTATGGCCTATACATTGTCCCCCATGAAAGGACATTTAACTTATGTTTTATAGTCAAGTTGAGAATCCTAATATCTTTTAGAAAATGTTAATTTCAAGGCTTGCTTTTCATGAATTTATAGTTGATGATGATTTTCTATTTATGACTGATTATAATATTTTCTTTTATATTTTGTTTGAACTTAGAATGAAATTTTCAAAAAATAAATGAAAATAGTTTCAAAGGGTATTGTAAATGTCATTTTTTTTGAAACTTTATTTTGTTATTACCATTTATGGTATGTAAAAAAAGATATAATCGAAATAATTTTAAGATATAATAAAATCTTGTTTGATGTTATCTTACAATTTTAACATTAATTTCTGCATAAATCATGTCAAAGTAACTAGCTTTTATTTATGAAAGAATGGGAGAAAAGATAGAGTGTTTTCTGAATTCTTGAATTTGTTGAAATCTATAAATGAACACTCACAATTTTTATTTATAGAATCTAAATCCTAAGATTGTGACATTTTGATTGTGTTGTTTTAATAAAAAAATTTTTTTTAATAAAAGTTTACTTTTTGAATAATAACAAACAAATTGATTTACTTGAATGATCATTTTTTTAATTCCAATAGAAATATCTTTTCGTGTTTTAGAAAAATAATATTATGTTAATATAAAAAATACTTAAAATAAAACTATTTATTATTTTTTATATTATTTATTAATATATTATATTAATAGTATATTATTTATTAATAATATATTATTTATTCATGTATTATTATAATGTTTATTAATTAAATTAATAATATTTATTATATTATGTATTAATATAATATTATTTTTAATATATTATAATATTTAATTTTAATATTAATTTTATTAATATAACATATTAATAGTATATTATTTATTAATATATTATAATATTATTTATTAATATAATATATTTATTGATAATATTATTTATTAATATAATATTATTTATGAATATATTATAATATTTTTATTAATAGATTATATTAATAATATATTATTTATTAATATAATATTATTGATTAATATATTGTAATATAATATTTTTTATAAGTAAAATTATACTAAAAAATATTAATAAATAGTTATATTAATAGATAGTTCTTTGTCAAAAAATATTTTTTTTTTCAAATTCGTAAGATAATATCTAAAAAAATGATCTCATTTTTCATTGATCAATAAGTCATTTTTTATTGATCAGTAAATCATTTTTCATTGATCAATTAATTTTTTATCAAATAAACATTTAAAAATATGAAAATTATTTTTTGGAAATTCATTTTTTATGAAACAAATAGAGCTTTAACGTTAAATTCGAATGCACAATTTTCATAAAAATGTAATATATTTTACTATAATCTAAGAGATTGAAAAATTGTACATTTTTATGTGAAATTAACTCTTGTTACACGCACTCTTTAATTAAAATTTTAATGATATATATTGTGCTTGACCTGGTCTTACTGGATTCTAGGAATGCGGTACCTTGGGGGCCTCTCTTATTCTCTTGTCCCTAGGCGTAAGAAGCTCTTTGCAAATCAAATTGAGAATTTAAA